GTATATAACACTTATATACAATGTTTAAGGTTACATAAATAATCATGAAATTTTCATTGATATTCATAAAATATTCACAAATATATGCACATAAAATGATGACTAAACTCTTTTATTAAATAAATAATAAATATCCTATTACATCTTATGCTTCTAGGACACCATTCCCAACAGTCGCCCGCTGAAGATGAAGATGACTTTATTGACAATGGTGATGATGAAACTGTGTTTGACTATATCGAAGATGAGCTTGTCGATTTTGAAGATGATGACGACGTAGAAACTGCCAATGATGTTGAAGACATTCGTAGTGACGACGAATAGAACTAAAGTAGTTAATTTATATTTATAAAATTTTTAAGAAATTACGTGCCACATAAAGTAACAAATATATATTTTTTACGACATAGCGTCTCGATGTCTGGCCCAGTAGCTACCTACGCCGGCTCTACAGGAGGATCACAGCCTCCACCTGATCTGACGAGACTCCCGGCACATTGTCAGTCAAGTTTTATATGCTATAACACATACTCTTAAAATATGTTAGTTTTTGAACTCTCTATAGTCAAATTTCGTTATTTTTATTTTCTTACATTTCTGAAGCCGACATCTCGACATCAGTCTGGTCGAGGAGTAGCTATAGGTCGAGATATAGTGGAGAAAGAACAAAAAGATAGGAAGCTTTTTGTCTTATTTGACGAGCTAAGATTGACAATTAGGGTGACATACACCGTCATGGGCATAATTTTATCAATCTGGACATGGAACCTGCATTTGTAAGTAAATTTTAAACTTATTTCTTTTTTCATATTTAACATAACATATTATACTATTTTTATTCATTTTTATTTCATTTACCTTTGCAGGCTCAGATGGAGGTGGAAAGAACCACGCAAATGACACAGTCTGCTGGGGAAGGTTCATCCACCGCGGTCAATGAGGAGGGGATTATGTCCCAAGTTTTGGGCAAGTGCAGAGGACACACTAAGGGAGTGGGACCGACACTGCCACGGAGGAATCGTTCAAGCACTTCCACGTCATCATCTGATTCGCAATCGGATGAGTCATCTTTGGTTAATTTGCCCCAGCATGTCTAAAACTGGTTAAACAACCTCTACATTGAGCAATGGAAGATGTTCGACAACCAGCAGATCATGATGGAAGTAATGCGCTTGATGAATCCCAACATCAACTTCTTGCCAATTAACCGCCCCCAACCGTTGGTTCCTTTGTCGCCTGTGCGAAACGAAGAAGACGAGGATGGGGACGATGATGAAGTCGAAGATGTTGCTAATTTAAGAGATTAAAATATCTATTTTTATTTTTCTTATTATGAATACTTTTTAACATTTATTGATTAATTTACTTTTTAAGACTTATTTTATTATTGTGTTGACTATTTTATATCAATTATTTATTAACAAATATCAATTTTATTGTTTTATTTTATTATTAAATTTTCTTCTAATTTATATATTTAATAATTAATATTATTAGTAAAGTAGGGCAAAAAATTTTTTTTTTACGACGACATATCTAAATTGTCGTCGCAAATAGTCTACATTACTAGTGATGACACTTTAGATTTGTTGTCGTAAAATGTTTCAAAAACTTTTGCGACGACAAATGTCGTCACAAATAATTTAAGCCACGTCATCATCAACGACATATTTGACAGAACATTCGTGACAACTTATTTGCGATGATTGTCGTCGCTAATATATTTAGGATGACATTTTCAAATTATGTCGTCGCAAATATATTATTTGCCTCAGATTTTTTGTGACGACAAAGTTGCAACGATATGTCATCGAAAATAAAATATTTACGATGACAAATCAATTATTTGCGACGATATGGCGTCACCACAAATGAGCTTTTTTGTTGTAGTGGATGCTGCACCATGCATTACCACACAACCAACATCCAGCGAGAATCATCTACTCATCTATCTATAGGTTTTCTTTTTTTTCTTCTTTTTTTTTTCTCTTGTGATCAGCCTATCTAAAGCTTTTTATCATTTAATAAACTATCTATTTTGAGAATTTCAGACTTGTAGTGTGGTTGACTGCATTTAAATTGTAATCCGTTCAATGTGATTTTTTTAGTTTTAGTAGTTTAGTTCACTGATTTAATTTTTTAATTTGAGTTGAGATGTAATTTTATGTGAAAGCTTTTTACTGTAGTAAAAAAATTAAATGTGATTATTTTTAAAATTTTTTTACTATAATAAAACTTAAATTGATAAAATAAATGAGACCTTTATTTTGTATCATTTAAGTTGTTGTTCGGCTAAACACCAAGTTCTTATCTCCTCATATGAAGAATTTTCTTATAGCATGTCATGATGACAGCTTCTCCCACTATACACTCAAATTATAAAAAAAAAAAACAAAAATATTACTTTTTATTAAATGCACTCCGAAATGTGGCTAGCTTTCCCTCAGCAATATGTTCAATAACCTTATCTTATATCAGAGAAAAAAAAACCCCCCCTTATATGTACGCAATGAAAGGTTCAAAATAAAAACACTTTCATCATACACCTTTCAACAAAAACCTTTAAGCCTTGTTCTGAAAAAATGGAGCACAACGATGAACTTTCTCCAAAAACAAACGTGGCCCTCATCGTCGGAGTTACCGGCATGGCGGGCATTAGCCTGGCTGAAGCTTTAAAGAGTCCCGAAGCCCTCGGCGGGCCGTGGACAGTGTACGGCACAGCCCGCCAACAAAAGCCGACATGGTTTCCGTCCTCAGCCACTATAGACCACTTCATCTCTTTCGACGCTTTAAGCTTCGAAGACACTCTTCAAAAACTCTCCCCCATATCACAACACGTCACGCGTCTCTTCTGGGTCGCCATCCAAGTCCGCGACACTGAAGAATCTAACATCAAAGCCAATTCGATCATGCTCCAAATCGTGCTTAGAGTCCTCAACTCATCAAAAAACTCCTCCAAACTCCGCCACGTAACCCTCCAAACCGGCACGAAACACTACATGGGGCCCATTTTCGACCCAACTCTCGGCGTCACCAAACTGGCCCATCCCGACCCGCCCTTCGAGGAAGACGCCGCGAGATTGCCATATCCAAACTTCTACTACGCTTTAGAAGACATTGTAGCCCAAAAAGGGCATTCCTTCACGTACTCCGTCCACCGTGCGTCGATCATACTTGGCGCTTCCGCGCGTAGCTTCTACAACATGCTGGTCACGCTCTGCGTCTACGCCTCAATCTGCCGGCACGAGAATCTGCCGTTCAGATATCCCGGCACGAAGTACACGTGGGAGCACTTGTGCGACGCGACGGTTAAGGGATATGAAGATAATTCCCTAACTAATTATAGTTGAGCCTCCTTTTAGGTATGTTTTGCATGCATGTATTGTACAAATAAAGGTACAGTGAATGTATATGTATTTTATTATATCTTGTTTTGTTTAATTTTTTGTCTACACATTGCAATATTTAGCGCACAAATGATTTCTTTTTTTTAGGTCCACAAATATATTAGGTTGTGTAAGTGGTATTAAGCATTCATAATTTCATATGTAAACTTGTAATATCCGGAAAAATCCTAAGTAGAATTAATTAAGGATTTTTCATAATTACGTCGATAGATTCATAAGAAAATATAAGTACATGGTTTATAATGTTAAGCTTTGATATTAGTTACGAGATATGGTTATGAGAGAGAGAAGAAAAAATATAAAAAGAGTCAAGTTTTGACTATTGAGCCTAAAAATAGTTTAAGACTTGAAATAGTCCAATTTAGTATACAATTAAGAATATAAAATAATATTAAATTATTCTTATATTAAGATTGGACTGTAAGTGAATAATAAAAGAGAACTCGTCGAAAAATTAAATTTTTTGTCGGTGAAATAAATAATCTCCAGCTAGAATAAATTATATCTGTTTGGAAAGAACTTTTACACTATGTTTGGTATGAATGAAAAGTGGAAGGAAAGAAAATGTTGGAGGGATTTTAGGATGGAAATTGATAAATAACTTGTTTGGTAGAAAGGAAATTGGGAAGGAAAAGAAAATTGAAGGGAAATTATAATGGGTGGGTCCCACCATATTTCATCTCTCTAAAAGTGGGAGGATTTTAGGAAGGAAAATGAATCTCTCACTACCTTGCTTCTTGTTTCGTTCTCTCTCTCTTTTTTTTTTTTTTTTTTACATTTTGTTTTTCTTTTTTTTTTTTTTTTTTTACATTTTGTTTTTCTTTTTTTTTTTTTTTTTTTACATTTTGTTTTTCTTTTTTTTTTTTTTTTTTTACATTTTGTTTTTCTTTTTTTTTTTTTTTTTTTTGTCTAATATCAATGTTGTATGTTAATGACTTGCTCTTGAAGATGATGTACACCAATGAAGACTGAAATCATATGGTTTAGAAGTTTAATAGTCACACCAGTTTATAGCCCTTTTAGTAAATATATCTATATGGTACTTAGTTGATCGCACATAGTTTTTGTTAATACTTGACTGCAGGTGAATATTGAGAAATATATATGACCATACAAACTAATACTTTTGTGAAAAATTTCGCTTACTTTAGAATAGTGGATGCATTGTATATTAGTCACTTTTTTGTTGTATTTGAACCTTCAACAAGTTGTTGTATTTAAACTGTAGCTAGCTACTCTTTTGTTGTATTTAAACTGTAGCTAGCTACTCTTTTGTTGTATTTAAACGTTAAAAAAATAAATGATGCATTAATGCTATATAAGTTAAACTATGTTTTTGTACCTTTATATATGTATATGTGTGTATAATATAGATGAAATATATGTTCAAGTTACATGAATTTTTTGAGTTAATTTGATGTTGAATACTGTATTATTTATACTTTTATTAGAAAAGAATATTAATAAAAAATATTTAGGCAAAAAAGTAATTACACCAATAATAATTTTTCCATCTCTTTAGTTTCACTTCCAATACCAAACAAGGGAAGGTAAATTCATTTTCTTTCCTTCCTATCATACCAAACAAGTCAAGGGAAAATCAAAATCTTTTCTATCCTTCTAATTTTCTATGCATTATAGTTTTCCTTTCCCTCCTATTTTCTTTCCTTCATACCAAACAGAGCATTAAGGATAAGTTCTAAAGTTTCACTTTCTCTCTCTCCTCACGCGTTTGTTTCTCTCTTCTCTCGGACGTTCTCTCTCAAAAATGAAACCGTCCATGGCCAAAATCTCACTTTGAGATTTAGACCTCCGTTTTTGACACAGCTGGTGTCAATGGAAAGCTTTCGACAAGCTGAGCATTTTGACAGGTCGCACAACCCCAAACTCTGCCGGAATAAGCTGTAATCGCCGGCTGAAGTTTCAAAAACAACCGAAACTTTCGATCGCGATATTTCCTTCGTCCGACCTCCGATTGAGGTGATTTCAGTCCTTATGGACTCAGTGCAGGGTGACGAAGAAAACCCACATATTTTCATAGCTCAATTATGGCCAGAGCACCACCGTATGTGGTGGTCAGAATCACCGTGCCGCCACCGTCGTTTTTCTTCCGCCGAGACGCAGTGGGTGTCACGACCCCTACCATTTGATTCAAAGTTAATAGACGAGTCGATCCCGACCAGATTCAGCCATCACCGTCGCCATTTGGCCGGAAAACGGAGCTCGCCGCCACCGTCGTGATGGTGTAGGTTGGTTCCGACGATCAGACTGTTAGATCGTTGTGAGTTGGTGTCAAAACACTCATAAGATCATGGGTAAGAAAACCCCTCAACTAATTTTAGGATTTCATGCATGACCGGAAATGTGAGATTTGAGTCGCCGAATTTTAGCGACGTTGCCGGTCCTGATATATACTGTTATAGGTCGAATGGTATGAAATTGACCACACCAATGGACTTAGAAGGGTCGATTTATGGGGGGTAGGACCCAAGTCCGCCGCGGAAAAATTCTCCGGGAGCATGCGCCGCCGTACACCGCCGCCATATTCCGGTGAGGTGTCGTTTCTCAGGCTATCGACTTCCGTTTGATGATTCGAGACCATATCCCGACTCGTTTCGACATGCTGAACGCAATGGTGTCCTCCGCTCAACCAAATTCAATTTTGATAAAACTGGTATGGTACCGATTGTATGCGGATCGAGGTGAATCGAATGGATTCATTGAAATTCAGAATTGAATGTCTAACGCATCAATGATGCTAGTGGATCATGCAAAGAGTTTATGATTTCTCCTAGAACGGATATCAAGGAGATACGCAGTGGAACACGACAAGCGGGTATTACCGGAACCGCTTAGCTCGGAATTGAGGCAAGTACAGTATGATTAATGATAAGTAATTTAGAACATATGATGTTCATGGGATATGTTATTTATGAATTCACGAATTCATAAAGGCAATTATGGAATATAGAATTATGAGGATTTAACTAGTCCTTATAATAGAAATTATAATTTTTATGATCCTTAATAAAAAGGATAAATATGTTCTATAACAAAGGATTTAATTTCCTTTATGACTATCCTACATAAAATAGCATACTAAAGGCTAATCCCACCATCTGGATGGGTGTTTATTTACATAACTTAGCAGTAAAGGATAGAAGATCTGGGCGAGTAGAGAATTATGCTATAACTGGAAAGAAGGTAAGTACAATAGTTTTTCTATGGTTATTTCACGAACAAGCTTACTTTTCTATATTGCACAAACATTGTGCATATGTTAGAATTTTGAATGTTAGATACAATGTTATGCATGTATCTACAAGACTTAAGTAGCTGTAGAACTTTATTCTGTGAAAAGTATGTATCAATGTTAAATCGAGGTCAAATTAAGAGGAAATGTTAAGTGTTAACGAAAAGTTAATCTCATGATAAATTGCTAAAAAATGAACAAATTCATAAGATTTAACCAAAGTTACCGTTTCAATGAGAAAATTGATAAACGATAAGGGACCAAACGTCCTGTTTGTACCAGCCTTCGAAGGAAAGGTTATTATGAGACTATGAAAGAAATGAAACCGTGACTGAGTTAGATTGGTTATCTACCCCACTCCTCACTAGTTATGCACGCTATGGTACAACATGACATGGCCCATAAGAAGTAAAAGACAAGAAAACAAAAAACAGAAATCGTTCCATATAAGGGTACGGTATCTGTAAATAAGAAAGAAAAGAGAGAAACACAATATGAAAGTCGTTTAGAACGTGAAAATACAATGTGAACGACTAAAAAGAGACGAAAACTGAATAAAGTACGTAATGAAAGAAGAAGAACATAAGCGATATACGTTCTAGAAGTAAATAATGTCTTAGGATATATGACATGAATGCATATATGGGTATGCATTATTGTATGCTTTTACTATGGCCTACTGTTACTTGCTGAGTGAAAGCTCATTACGTTTGTTCGTGTTGTAGGAAGCTCGGGTAAGACACCGGCTCTATGAAACCCGTATGCTGGGCGTGCATAAAAGGATGAAGCCGTAGGATGTGGACAAGTGGGTAATGGGATCTACACGCAATTGGTAAACGCTGCAAAGTGTTTTAAGTAGATCATATTTATGGATATGGTTAGGATATGTAATGCAAGTAATGTAATGCAAGTAAAGATCACGAGACTATGAGGTTATGCATAGCAACCTCTAGTCACAAGGTACGATTAATGTAACAAAATGCTAGCTAAATGCTACGGCATTTAGACTTATGAATGGAAAAAAAAATTAACCTGAATTCTTAAGAGGCTATAATTAGAAAGTAGTAGAGGTTAAGTAATGCTAAGTATGAACGTAAGATGATGATCAAAAGTTAGGGTCGTCATAAAACTTGTAGTGTGTCTAACTGCAGTCATTATTTGGGAAGGAAGCTTTTGAGGTCTGAGACCTTGTTCGTGGTGACTTAGGCTAGGAAGGTTTGGAATAATTTCATTCCTGTGCTTCTTTTTGGAATTTCCTCCATGATAAGTTCAGTTGAAAGAATGAGGGTTTTAGTTTGCTTTAGTTCCTTCCGTTTCTAGTAATTTAGACGAGACTTTAAATTATAGATTTCTGTTGGAGAGATTGTGAGGGGAATTTATTCACTAAACTGGATGTACCACATATCACATACCACATCAGCATTCTTATGTGGCACATTATGTTTTTGTAAGCAATTAAACCGTTGAAAGAACCTTACACTATTTCTAAGCATTTAAGCATCATTTCGTTATTCAAAATATAGTTCAGGTCATATTCTTGAGTCTTAAATAACTCAAATTCTAAGGGAGTTTCTCTTATCGGTAGTGTTAGATTTTAACGTTGGTTGAGGTTAAAATCAAATTAAATTGAAAAAATATTTGGAACAAAGAGTTTTTAATACAAATTTAACGGCTAAAAATAGAAGATTAC